TCACCCACTAAATAGGGGAAACTATGATAGAACCCTCTGGACTTGAAGAAGAGGGGTGAATCCATCATTATGCATTCTTTGTTATACATAGTGGTGGTCAGATCTTTACAGAACAATTTAAGCAGAAGAGTTTACATTCCATGAGTTTTAAAAACATGCACAATGTAACACCTTTTAAAGTATCAGTGATAACCGTCCCCTCTACCGGCACTCGCTCCGGATTAGTGCAATTCGGGGAACCACTGCACTCCAGTATGGGCGACAGACAGAGTGAGACTCCAACTCAAAAAAAAAAAAAAAATTGCCATAGGAGCAGAGAAAGAAAATGTTGCCTATTCATCTGTGATGTAATGCTAAGATAGCATTGATTAATTGAAGGATGCATCTTTATATTAAAGATGTTGAAATATGAAAGCAATGTGCATCTTGAAATACGGTAATTTTCTTTCTTTTTCTTTTTGAGTTGGAGTCTCACTCTGTTGCCCAGACTGGAGTGCAGTGGCATGCTCCCGGCCACCGCAGCCTCGACCTCCTGGGCTCCTGCGATCCTTCCGTCTCAGCCTTCCAAGTAGCTGGAACTACAGGCATGCACTACCACACCTGGCTGATTTTTTGATTTATTGTAGAGATGAGGTCTCGCTAAGTTGCCCAGGCGGGTCTTGAACCTGCGGGCTCAGGCAATCCACTCACCTCAGCCTCCCAAAGCGCGGAATTACAGGCTGAGCCACTGAACCCGGCTGGTAGTTTTCAAATTAGAGTCTGGTAGAACTTTCTCAAGGATTACACGTGTGAGGCAGTATGGGAGGATGAATCTGGACCTCTCGTCCCTGCTTGAACCTCAAAACTCTGGTATTATGTTTTATGTATTGAACTTTTGTCCTAAGATATATTATGTCAGCAAAATATTCCATAGGTAAGCAAAAATATGAAAATCATTGTAATAAGCATCACTGAAGGATCTTTGAGCACAGAAGTTACAGCAGATTTGTGCTTTTGTTTACTTTTAAATTTAATTTAATTTTCAAGAGATGGTGTCTTGCTCTGTTGCCCAGGGTAGTATGCAGTAGTATGATCATAGCTCACTGCAGCCTCATGCTGCTGGGTTTAAGTGATCCTTCTTACTGGGCACATTGGCTCACATCTGTAATCCCAGCACTTTGGGAGGCAGAGGCAAAAGGATTGCCTGAGTCCAGAGTTTCGAGCATGGGCAACTTGGCAACACCTCATCTCTACAGTAAATAAAAAAAAATTAGCCAGGTGTGCTGGTGCACACCCGTGGTTTCAGCTACTTGGAAGGTTGAGATGGAAGGATCACCTGAACCTAGCAGGTCGAGGCTGCAGTAACTGTGAGAGTACCACTGCACTCCAGCCTGGATGACAGAGTGAGACTTCTACTTAAAAAAAAAAAAAAATGATCTTTCTACCTCAGCCTGCCAAGTAGCTGGGACTGCAGGCATGGGCCACCAAGACCACTAATTTAAAAAATACCTATTTTAGAGACAGAGTCTCACTGTGTTTCCCAGAGTGGTCTCAAACCCTTAACTTCAAACTATCTTCCTGTCTTAACCTCCTGAGTTACTGGGATTGCAGGAGTGAGCTGGCACAGATTTGTGCTTTTAAAAAATAACTAGCCGGGCTCGGTGGCTCAGCCTGTAATCCCGTGCCTTTGGGAGCCTGAGGTGAGTGGATTGCCTGAGCCCGCGGGTTTGAGACCCGTCTGGGCAGCGAGACCTCATCTCTACAATACATCAAAAAATCAGCCGGGCGTGGTAGTGCATGCCTGTAATTCCGGCTACTTGGAAGGCTGAGGCGGAAGGATCGCCGGAGCGCAGCAGGTGAGGCTGCGGTGGTTGGGAGCGTCCACTCACTGCACTCCAGTCTGGGTGACCGAGTGAGACTCCAACTCAAAAAAAACCGAAAAAAAACTAATGACATTTTAAATATATATTCTCTTGCCTTTTCTTTGTCATCATTCACTTTTGTTCTTGTCTATTTTTATTTGTTTTGTTTTGCTCTCATATGCTTGTAACCCAGTTTGAACTTGACAGTGCCTAGGATGCCAGAAGAACCTGCTTCTCCAATTCTTACCTGTCTTTTTCCTGTCTATCTGTACTTTGATTCATTTCAGTGCCTTTTTGAGATGGATAGTCTGCCAGCATGCTTCTAAGATCACAATAAAAGGGGAGCCCCCCCCCCCCAAAAAAAACCTTGTAATTATTTTTTGGAGGGTGGGCCCCTGCTAGGTAAGTGTTCTAGGAACCCATCAGCATCAGTGTACCAGCTAGTATTGTGAGAGCTGTGTTTAGATTCAGTGATTTTTTTTTTTTTTTGAGATTTCTTTGAATGTGTTTGCCCATTTTATGATACGTGATTTACATGAACAATCTACATGCACTGTGCTAAGTGTTCAGAAGTTTGGTTTTTTTTTGAGTTGGAGTCTCACTCTGTCGCCCAGACTGTAGTGCAGTGGCCGTTCCCGGCCACCGCAGCCTCGACCTGCTGGGCTCCGGTGATCCTTCCGCCTCAGCCTTCCAAGTAGCTGGAACTACAGGCATGCGCTACCACGCCCGGCTGATTTTTTGATTTATTGTAGAGATGAGGTCTCGCCGAGTTGCCCAGGCGGGTCATGAACTCGCAGGCTCATCAGAAGTTTTTGACCAAAAACGGCATGACCCCTGTGCCCTATCATCCTTATTCATCTGATCTCTCCCCAAGTGACTTTTTTTTGTTTCTCCTGATGAAAAATGTCCTTGGCTGGACTTGGTGGGTCAGCCTGTAATCCCAGCACTTTGGGAGACCAAGGCGAGTGAATTGCCTCAGCTAGCAGGTTTGAGACCAGCCTGGGCAACTTGGCGAGACCTTTTCTCTACAATAAATAAAAAATTAGCTGGGCATTGTAGCGTGCGCCTGTAGTTCCAGCTACTTGGAAGATTGAGGCAGAAGAATTGCCAGAGCTCAGTAGGTCGACACCGGGGTGGCCGTGGGTGTGCCACTGCACTCTAGCCTGGGTGATGGAGTGAGACTCCAACTCAAAAAAAAAAGAAAGAAAGAAAAAGAAAAAAGGCCTCAAAGGGAAGCATTTTGCTGATGGAGAAGAGGTGAAACAGAAATGGCAGAAGCACTAAAAGGCATCAAAATTGATGAGTTCAGAAACTATTTTGAGCAGAGGGAAAAGCGTCTCGATAGGTGTGTTGCATCAAACAGATAGTACTTTGAAGGGGACTGAAGTTAAACATATGAGAATGCACAATTTTTTTTTTTTTTTTTTTTGAGTTGGAGTCTCACTCTGTCACCCAGACTGGAGTGCAGTGGCCGCTCCCCGCTG